CTTCTTCCTACTACTACTACTATTTATTGTAAACTTTTTGTCTAGTTCTCTTTTTCTTTCTTTCTTTTATTTATTTATTTTTTGTAAAGATTTTATTTATTTGAGAAAAAGAGAGCCTGGAGAGGGGCAGAGGAAGAGGGAGAGAGAGAATCCCAAGCAGACAAAATGCTCAGCATGGAGCCCTACCTGGGGACCAGATCACCCTGAGACCATGACCTGAGCCAAAACCAAGAGTCGGACTCTTAACTGATTGAGTTACCCATGCATTTTGGGTTCTCTTTTTTTAAAGACCTGGGTACTTTGCTGTAAAAGAACTGCCTCGTTATTGGTAGCCATTAGAGAACTGTGTGCTGTTTTTTTGTTTTTGTTTTTGTTTAAGTAGGCTCTATGCCTAACGTGGGCCTGATCTCAGGACCCTGAGATCAAGAGTCACATGCTCCACCAACTGAGCCTACCACTTGCCACCCCCCCCCCCGCCTTTTTAAAAGATTTTATTTATTTATTCATGAGAGACACAGATTGAGAGAGAGAGAGAGAGGCAGAGACACAGGCAGAGGGAGAAGCAGGCTCCATGCAGGGAGCCTAACATGGGACTCCATCCCGGGTCTCCAGGATCGCACCCCGGGCCGAAGGTGGCGCTAAACCGCTGAGCCACCTGGGCTGCCCTCTTTTTTGTTTTGTATTGTTTTTTTTTAAATCCCTTCCCCCACTTTTTTAAAAAAATATTTTATTTATTTATTCATGAAAGACACACAGAGAGAGGCAGAGACACAGGCAGAGAGAGAAGCAGGCTCCATGCAGGGAGCCCGATGTGGGACTCGATCCCGGGTCTCCAGGATCACACCCTGGGCCGAAAGCAGCATTAAACCGCTGAGCCACTGGGCTGCCCACTTTTTTTTTTTTTTTTTTTAAATCAACACACAGGGATCCCTGGGTGGCGCAGCGGTTTGGCGCCTGCCTTTGGCCCAGGGCGCGATCCTGGAGACCCGGGATCGAATCCCATGTCGGGCTCCCGGTGCATGGAGCCTGCTTCTCCCTCTGCCTGTGTCTCTGCCTCTCTCTCTCTCTCTCTCTCTCTCTCTCTCTCTCTCTCTCACTGTATGACTATCATAAATAAATAAAAAATTTAAATAAATAAATAAATAAGTAAACACACAATGTTACATTAGTTTCAGGTGTGCCACACAAAGATTCAACTTTTGGAGAACTGTTTTTAATTATTTTGAGGCCACAAAACCCTTTGAAACCTGATAAAAGTTGTTTATTTTTCCCCAGAAAAATGCATTCTACACATTTTTGCATATAATTCAATCTGGACATCATGACTATTTGTGGGCCCTGAAATAGTAATTATCAAGTTTTAATGAGTATATAAATCACCTGGATTGTTTTTAAAATGCAGATTACTTGGTCTCACTGCCTAAAGTTTGGAGTTGGACTTAAAATCTGCCCCTTTAGTATTTCAGGTGATCTGGATGCAGGATATTTTAAGAATACGGTGTACAAAACTCTGAATCTCCTCTGAGATTCAGAATCTTGTAATTCCACTGCTGTTTGTGGTTTTTTATTTTATTTTATTTTATTTTATTTATTTATTTGACAGACAGAGAACAAAAACACGAATGGGGGAGGGGCAGAAGGAGAGGGCAAAGTAGACTCCCCACTGAGCAGGGAGCCTGACTCCACTCGAGGCTCTATCCCAGGACCCTGAGATCATGGACCTGAGCTGAAGGCAGATGATTAACCAACTAAGCCACCCAGGTGCCCCTCTTACTGTTGTTTTTTTTTTTTTTTTTTTTAAGATTTTATTTATTCATAGAGACACACAGAGAGAGAAGCAGAGACACAGGCAGAGAGAGAAACAGGCTCCACGCAGGGAGCCCGACATGGGACTCGATCCCAGGTCCTCAGGATCACACCGTGGGCTGCAGGCGGCACTAAACTGCTGCACTACCGGGGCTGCCCCCTATTACTGTTTTTTAATAGAACTTTCTCTCTGCAAGTTTTTTAACTCATTTAAGAAAATGATTTAAAATGAATTAATCATTTAAAGACTTTTCCCATAATTCTTTTGTTAGGCATGGAGCCTAACACAGGGCTTGAACTCACAATCCTTAGGTCAAGACCTAAACTGAGATTGGGATGTCTGGGTAGTTCATTGGTTGAGTGTCTGCCTCTGGCTCAGGTCATGATCCCAAGGTCCTGGGATTGAATTCTGCATTGGGGTCCCCACAGGGAGCCTGCTTCTCCCTCTGCCTAGTGTCTGCATCTCTCTCTCTGTGTGTCTCTCATGAATGAATAAATAAAATCTTTAAAAATACCCTAAACTGAGATTAAGAGTTGAACGCTTAACCAACTGAGCCACCCAAGCAAAACCTCATCCCCAATAATTCTTTTTATTTGTAGGATGAACTTTCTGATGTTAGCCAAGGAGGATCTAAAGCTACCACTCCAGCATCAACAGCTGCGTCAGATGTGGCCACAATTCCTACTGATACTCCCTTAAAGGAAGATAATGAAGGATTTGTGAAGGTTGCAGATACACCAAATAAATCAGAGATAAGCAAGCATATTGAAGTACAGGTAGCCCAAGAAACTAGAAATGTATCAACAGGTAAGTGACCCTAGTTCTTTCTGGTAAAGATCACGTGGGTATGAAAGGATTCATCTTTGGGGTGTTACTGCTTTAGATTTATAAAATTGTACTCAATTGTAGGTAAGCTTAAAAAGAGTGATGATCAGATAAAGTTTTGGAGAACCAGATTTGGGAAACTGGAGGATTAGAGAGCCTAAAAGGCAGGAGAATAGTCTTCATCTTTAATTTCTCTGTATTTCACCCCTTAATTAGTAAAAACAAACAAACAGGAAGTTCTGCCCTGGGATACAATGGACTGTGTCCCCAAAAATACAAATAAAAACTTTGGTTATTTATCAGTTTCTGATAGTCACTGTTAATCTGATATATGACTTGTCTAAACCTCATGATTCTTAGAACCTACTCCTTAAAATGTTTTTCTAATCAAATGATGTATTTATAACCACTGAAGCAATAGGATTCTCCTATTAGGGGCAGTATGTAATATATGCATTATTTATATCATCTTGTCCTTTTCCTAAGGCTCTGCTGAAAATGAAGAGAAGTCAGAAGTTCAAGCAATCATTGAATCCACTCCTGAGTTGGATATGGACAAAGATCTCAGTGGATATAAAGGCTCAAGGTACTATTAATGTCAAATTAAGGCATTTTATACTTCCTTTCCCCTCTCTCAGAAGCATACTGTTGTTCTCTGGTCTCAGAGAAAAGGACATTCAGATGTTTTGCTGAAGAAATGTTGGTACTATATTTCAGTTTCCATTTTTGAAACTAGACATTATACTTGGTTTAAATGTTTTATGAAATGTTCCTTTGCTACATCAGGGATTAGAAGCATATGGAAGGATAGGGAAAAAAAATAGCCCAAGGGATAACCAGTACTGTCTGGAATTTGAGGAAACATAGAAACAGGAATATGAGAAGTAACAATTTGAGAAAACTGTTCTTTCCCCCAAATCAGGAAGAAGTGTACATACTCCCTTCAAAACTGTAATGATGTTAGGTGCCTGGCTGGCTCAGTAGAGCATATCACTCTTGATCTCACGGTTATGAGTTCAAGCCCCATGTTGGGTGTGGAGCCTACTCAAAAAAACAACAGAAAACCCAAAGTGTAATGATCTCATTATTGGAAGAAATTAGTCTTGTTTTACATGGGAAGGCTGTTTAGTGGCAGGAAGAGAATTGTTATGTATCATCTTAATCAAGGTAATCTAAAGCATATGGATGTTCAAGAATGTTACACAGGACCTACTCCCTTCCTTTTAATTTCTTTCATTACATTTGTCCTTTAAAAATAAATGACCATAAAAATACACACCACTTATCACTGCAGTCATGGTTAAAAGCATGAACGTAAGGTAAGACTATGTGGGTTCAAATACTGCCTTGGATTTGAATCTGAGGTATATTTTCTCCTCCATAGGAGGGAATTATGATAATACCTCAGATGATTGTGAGTAAATGAATCAATGTATGTTGAATTATTGGCAGTGGGCCCAGTTTAATAAAGGTTAGATAGTACTATGGTCATCATCGTTTAATATAAGTTGAATTACAACCTTATGAAGTCAGTGTCTTCATCCCCATTGTACAGATAAGGAAGCTCAGAAATGTGTAGTAACTTGTCCAAGATTTCCAAGTTAGCAGTTGGAGCTGGCATTAGGTCTAGGACTCTCTGATGTCGAAGGCCATGTCCTATGAAAACATTTTTTTCTTTATTATTTATTTAAAAATGTAAACAATGCAGGGATGCCTGGGTGGCACAGTTAGTTAATTTTCCGACTCCCAATTTCAGCCCAGGTCATGATATCAGGGTTGTGAGATCGAGCCCCCCTTGGTCTCTGTGGTCTCTGCGCTGGGCATGGAGCCTACTTGGGATTCTCTCTCTCCCCCATCTCTTCCCCCACCACTCACACAGATGCTCTCTTAAACAAAAAATGTAAACAATGCAGAATATAAAAAGTGAAATTTGCTTTTTATCTGTCCTCTCTTAAGCCTAAGGAGATTAGCAGTTTCTGTTTGTCATTCTGAACCTCTTTAAAAATTTAAAAAAGTATATTTTTATCAGACTAATTAATGCATATATAGTATTAAGGTCAAATGGGAATAATACAAAATATGAAGGGCAGTAGTAGTCTCTTACCCTATCCACCCTTCATTCCCATTCCCAAGAGTCAGTGTCTGTTGCTTCTTTGTTTTCTTTTTTGCCCCAACAATAGCAGCTCAGCTTTATTGCAGGGTCAGCAGGCTAAAGAAAGGTCTGTGCAGGAACTCCCATCGCTGAGCAGGACTGTTGGGCCCCAGGACTGTTTGGAAGGCAGGAGAAGATCAGCATCCTGCCCCCTTTGGTCCATTCTGGGCCCAGGTTTCCAGGCCCTTGCTGCTTGGGGCTGAGGTAGGAAACAGCCTATCCTGTTTTCTCCAAGTTCTCCAGCAGAGTGTCCATGTTGTGCTCAGAATTGAAGCAAACCTTCTTGTTGGGCAGGTCAATGTCAGACTCCTCTCCTCCCAGCTTGTTGAGCACCTGGTGGACCACTTTAGAGCTGCTTTCACAAGTTGGGTCCACAGAGAACTCGTGCTTCAGCATGACTGTGGATGTGGTGGTGGCAGCGGTCACATCTTAGTTCTCTTCTGCTATTTTTCTTCAAGTATCTAAACCACATCCTTAGGCTCTTTTCCTTGCTTCTTCTGTTTCTCAGCTGGGATTCCGTGAGAAAATTAAGTCCTGCCCTAAGTCATCCTTTGTATATAATGAATTAGCTACACTCCTGTGCCCCTAGAATTGAGAAAATAGTCCCTCAAATCATTTTCTGTATTCTGTGGATCAAATGAGGAACCCTGGTTTTAGAAAGTTGTGATACTGGCTGTTGACTTTATAGTAGAAGACGACAAGGATATAGTTCCTTAAACCACCATCCCTCCTTTTATCCTCTCAATATAATTCTCAGTTTATGTTACATGAGCATTCATTTTTAAAATCATTAAGACAGTAAGTATTGATCATAGCTTAGTCACAGAATATACTGTGATTATTTTTCCTATCTTTTGCAACTTTACTTTTCTAGAATTAGTAAAACGTGGTAGATTTTTGTTTCGTTTTATTTGCTTAGGCTTCTACATATCTATTGCAAGTTCATGGACAGATACCTTGCGAATCATAAATGTAAGCACTTTCAAAATGGCCAAATATAAAGCCAGTTTCCTGGCACTCTGTCTCCTGGCGTCTTCTATTCCCATTCTCTAGTCTAGGCTCTCATGGGTTCTGGTCCTGGCATTTGCCCTCACTTTCATACTGGGAATTCTTGTCACTTTGTCCTCTGTCATATCTTCTGTTTCCTGGATCCGAGATCATCTTGCTGTTGCTGCTTCTTTCTTTTCCTTCTAAGATTTGTTTATTTATTTTAGAGAGAGTACAAGAGGGAGGGGCAGAAAGAGAGGGAGAGAGAATCTCAGACTCCGTGCTGAGCACAGAGCTCAGCATGGGGCTTGATCTCAGGACCCTGAGATAACAACGTGAGCCAGTGAGCCAAAACCAAGATCCGAAGCTTAACTGACTGCACCACCCAGGTGTGCTTTGTTTCTTGATGTATACCTTTGTTTTGACAGAACATATTCCTTTTTTCTTTTCTTTTCTTTTCTTTTCTTTTCTTTTCTTTTCTTTTCTTTTCTTTTCTTTTCTTCTTTTCTTTTCTTTTCAAGATTTCTTGATTTAAGAGAGCACGCATGAGCAGGGGGAGGGGGAGGGAAAGAATCTCAAGCAGACTTCATGCCCAGCACAGAGCCTGATGTGGGTCTTGATCTCATGACCTGAAGATCATGACCTGAGCCAAAATCAGGAGTTGGATGCTCAACTGACTGAGCCACCCATCTGCCCCTTGACAAAAATATTCTTACTAGCTTTCTGGGCAAAGGCTGCATGGAAAGTAAAAAAAAAATTTTTTAAGATTTTATATATTTATTCATGAGAGACACACAGAGAGGCAGAGACACAAGGCAGAGGGAGAAGCAGGCTTCGTGCAGGGAGCCTGACGTGGGACTTGATCCTGGGTCTCTAGGATCACGCCCTGGGCTGAAGGTGGCAGTAAACCGGTGGGCCACCCCGGCTGTCCCAGAAAGTAAGTTTTTGGAGAACTTGAATATGACAAATGTCATTTGAAAACATGATTGATAGTTTGGCTAACAGAATTCTAGGTTGGAAAATCTTCAAAAGTTTTCCTTCAGAATTGTGAAGACATTGTTCATAATCATGTTGAGTTTGAAGAGTTGGCCATTTGGATTCTTGCTTTTTTGTTTATTTTCTCTGGAAGCTTTTTAGGATCTTCACTTTATCCCTGATATGTGCCCTCCCCCGCTTTAAAAATACATTCATCATGTGTTTGACGTAGGGATCTTCCTTGTATCTTCTTGTATATGGTAAATCTTTTCATCTGGAAATTCATTATCTCCCAGTTCTGAGGAATTTTCTTATTTTTCCTTACTGTTGTCTCTTCCTCTCTCTTTCTGGAATATCTGTTAGGTGGATTTTGAGCAGTCTGGACCACCCTCCCCCTTCTTTTTTTTGTTCTAATTTTGGGATTATTTCTTCAACTTTATCTTTTAGCCCTCATTGATTTTTTTTCTTTTCCCCTAAAAGTATTTTTCTTATTAAAAAACCTTTATTTACCAAACATTGCCTAGTCATCACCTAAAAGCAGAGACAAAGTCTTAGTATTTGTAAGTGCATAGAAGTTACTCAGTGAATAGTTGATTTCTTTTCCCCCTAAAAGTTTTAGAATTACTCTTTATAACATCCTGCTATTTTTTTATGTACACAATGTTTATTCTGAAAAAAAAAAGTTTTATATTTTTTTTAATTTCTTCTGCTGCTTGCATTGTCTCCTTTTGCTCTGAGTGCCTCTGTTATAGTCCATTTGTTTTTAGACTCTTTATTTTATAATAAAGGCCTTTAAAAGTTTGGTGCTCCATGGCTGTTTTGCTAGTACTTAGGTAAGTAATGCAGATACTCTGGTTTCCTGCTTTTAACACTTAAACATGGCTTCCATTGTTTAGGGAGCAATGCTGTGGGGAGGGAGATCTCTGTTCTGGAGGATTGGATCTCACTCATACTGCTTCTTGTGCTGTCTTTCTATTGTTTTTCATCCTAACCTTCTGTTTTATGTTTCCCCTTTACATGTATCTTTCTTTTTCTTTTTTCTTTATTTTTAAGATTTTATTTGTTTGAGTGAGAGAGAGAGAGAGTGGCGAGCACAGAGGGAGAGGGAGAAGCATACCCCTGCTGAGCAGAGAGGCCAATGCAGGGCTTGATTCTAGGACTCTGGGATCATGACCTGAGCTTAAAGGCAGATGTTTAACCTCCTGAGCCACCCAGACACCCCTGCATGCATCTCTCTATAGATTGCTGGTTCCTTCAATTCCTCCTTCAGAGGTTCTGGCAGTATACTGAGCTTCTCCCTCAACCTCAGTGCTGACATTTCAGCCTTTTCTGGTCTGTCAGATCAGTTTTGTTTGCCTATATTCCATCTTACAGAATTTTGTTCACAATTCATCTGCTGTAATTTCTTTTTCTATTGCCTGTGTCCTATTGGGTGGTAAATAACTATGTTTAGTCCACTAAGTTTAACTGGAAATCCTATGCAAATTTTTTAAAAAGATTTATTTATTTATTTTAGAGCTGAGTGAGAGAACACACATGAGAGAGAGAGAGAGAGCGCGTGCGCGTGAGGGAGTGCGCACTAGCAGGAGGGGGAGAGGGAGAGAGAGTCCTAAGCAGACTCCATCCTGAGTACAGAGTCCACGTGGGGCTCAATCCCACAACCCTGAGATCACTATCAGAGCCAAAACTAAGAATTTGGATGCTTAACTGACTCTGCCACCGAGGTGCCCCAACTATTTTCTATTAATATAATATGAAAGCACAAACATACACATTTCCCCATTTCCTTCCATATCTCATATTATAAAGCTTCTTCTATGTAAGTATTTGTATTCTTTATTTTAACAGATACTGTAATTGCCCTTAAAAGAAAAACAAAATGGCTATGCCAATTTATATCTAGACAGCATATTAACATGGTAGTTAATATCATGGATTCTGAAGCCTGACTGTGTGCAGGGTTTGAATCCTGCCTCTTTGACTCATTTGCTGGATGACCTCGGTGAATTCCTTAATCTCTTTAGTTTCCTCTTCTATAAAATTGTGATAATAGCACCTCCTTTAAGTCAGTGTGAGGATTCAGTAAGGTAAACTAGGTAAAGTGCTTGTACAGTGTCTAATATAATGAAGAGTAGTGCTCTGTTAGCTATCATTTATTGTTTGTGTTTACTGAGATCTGACTAAAAATAAACATTCTGTATTTTCTTCAACAGTTCTTTCTTTGGAGTTTAATGGTAATTTTTTAGGAAACCTTTTAGAAATCTTTTAAAATTACATTTTGTATTAAATGCAAATTACAGGAGACAATTATTTGCCTATTGTATTCACTTTACACTTTTGAAAAAGCCTGTAATATTTGGTGATTTTTTTTCTGTTGCATAGCACTCCCACCAAAGGCATAGAGAACAAAGCTTTTGATCGCAATACAGAATCTCTCTTTGAAGAACTGTCTTCAGCTGGCTCAGGCCTAATTGGAGATGTGGATGAAGGAGCAGATTTACTAGGTATGATAGCTTATCTGAAGAAGTATCATACTGTAATAGTTTTTTAAGTGATTTAATTGAAAATTCCTTTAAAATGTCCCTAACTGCTGCTCAGTAGCACAGTTATTGTACTTTCAGGTAATAAATAGGAACGTAGTCTTTGAGATCACAAGCTTTATTTTATTTATTTATTTATTTATTTATTTATTTATTTATTTATTTATTTATTTATTTATTTTTAAAGATTTTATAGAGATCACAAGTTTTAAATGAAAGTATCTTTGTGTATGGATATCCCTCAAATTGAATTGTACTTTAATTTGTATTTTGAAAATCATACAGCACATTTTATTAAACATGTGCTGCATATATTCCAAAAACAGTATTTCACATAAGGAGCACAGTGATCCAAAAAAAAGAAGGAGCACAGTGATTTTTTTTTTTATATATATATATGAGTGTCTGTGCATCCAGGTGTGTGGATGTGTAGATGTATAGATTAATAGGTAGTTAGTTCCTGGCTTAGGTAGACTTCTTTAAATTCTATTGACCTTAATTAGATAAGAAAATATAATACTTGGGGTCTATTTATTTATTTATTTGTGATTTCACAGCATATTCTAACTGTTTGGAAATGTAATCATTTTAGAGTTTGTGTTGTAGAAGATACCTGGTTTGAAAAAGAATACTGCATTTGACTGTTCCATTATTTATCTGATAACCTTTGCCAAGTCGTTAACCTCTCCCGGCCTTAGTTTCTTTGCTAAAATGAAGGAGTTGGATTCTAGTTCTTGGGTTGAGCAAACTGTGGCTCTTGGGTCCAAATTCAGCTCATCTCTTCTGTGTTCAAATAAAGCTTTATTGGAATACAGCCCATCTCATTTATTTACTTATTGTCTATAGTTGGTTTTGCGCCCAATAGCAGAATTAAGTAGTCTATAACAGAGATCA